TTATGCTTATGTGTTCTTTTGATCAACATACCATATTTCACGGCACAGAGCAATGGTGTTATACCATATTTGTCTGGTATATCAGCATCGGCCGTGCCATTGACCATTAACACCTCAACCATTTTGAATGCATCTATATTGAAAATTTAGCCAAAGATGATGAATAATTTGTGAATCATATCAAAAATTGTAGCACGTGCTTACCAGTTTGAGAATTCAAATAAACTGTATGCCAAATTGGCGTTCTTTTAAACATGTCTTGAGCGTTGACATTAGAACCATTTGCGATCAGTTTTTGAGCTAATTTTGATCGATCTGCGAAATAAATAAATGCTTTTGATATATTCTTTTAAGTTCGACGCACCGAATTAAAAATTACTCATAATAACGGCGATATGTAGTGGAGTACGTCCAGTGTATTCTGGCCGATCTATCTCTGCATTTCGCTTGAGCAACTCTTCAACAACGTTCTCGTGGCCTGTTCAAATTGTGTATGAGATCAATTTTATTTATTATCAGCTTATATACATCCCTATGTAAACCCATACACAGTTTCTTATAATACTGCTTCTTCTTCTTCACACTGTCGTACACAATGGGCGCGACCATATTGAAAATGTATACAGTGTATTGCGTGCCATTTGTGAACATTATAACCAATATGGCGACTTATATGTATAGATGTGTTAGTTAAGAAGAAGAAGCAGTCGCACTGCACCGTTCGCATACGGACGCTTATATAAATGAAGCAAGTATATTTATGTGACATATACCTTGCATGACAGCGTTGTAGAGCGGGGTGAATCCATTATTGTTCTGAATATTTACGTCTGCACCCTTCTCTGCTAACTTCACTACACTGTCTTTATTGCCTGTTGAAATCAATCATTCAGCCAAATTATCAATTTTAGTTTCATCGATAAGACATGAATCGGAAGCATTTTAAACAATGATTCTTGAAATATTCAATGAAGTTATTCTTACCACGCGTAGCGGCTATAAAAATTGCCGTACGGCCATATTCATCTTGGGCGTTGATATTACTGCAGTATTCGCCTTCATTGCCTACTAATATAGAACCTGAAATTGAGAAACAGGTCATTTGAACAGATTCAATTGATTTCGAGGCTAAAGTAATGATCATTTTGTCATCAGCTTACCCATTAGGATCCCACGAATTGACCCACTATATTTCAAGGCAGAGAAAAAAAACATCACAGTTTGTGTTATAAAGCAAAGCAAAGTTATCGTGGTAAAATAAATTGGAATGGATAAACTCACCAATTTGTAGACGGAGAATCTAAGGAAATAAGAGGGTAAAAAATTTTATTCACAAGAATTTAAAAAAAACCCTGATGTAATGATACCTGCAAACGAACCAATCACAGCCACTCCAAAGCCAATGGTAAGCAGCAACGAGGACGTCGCCAAATTCATTGCAAACAAAATCGTATTCAAAATTGCTTACAGTAAAGAGCACACGTAATAACTACACGGAGCATTCACATAACAAGTATTAATGCGTAATATTAGTTGTTTGTTTGGTTGTTTTATACTTTCATTTTTCTGTCAATGTTTACGGAATGCATATTTTCAGTATGACATGAGGCCAATATCACTGGCATATCGCTAGTATAT